CTGACGCACCAAGTGTGAATGTATGAGAGTGATGGTGCGCGCTGCTCTGTCCCTGGAGATTTGCAGGCCAAGGTAGCGGCGCAATTCTCCTAGGTCAGTGCAGGTGTGTCTCCTCAGCAGCTCGGCCTTCACGGAGGCCAGCTCATCTCTGTCGGCAGTAGCGAAGACCAGGTCGTCCACGTAGACAAGGATGTAGAACGGAGTCTAGCCAGCACGAACGAAGAGCGAGGGGTCCGCAGAGGACGGAAAGAACTGCAGGTCACCTAGCGTAGCACGTAGCGTGTTGTGCCACTCACGGGGCGCCTGTCGCAAGCCGTAGACTGGGCGCCGAGGGAGCCACTGGGTCCCTGGAGGGAAGGTACCAGTAAAGCCGTAAGGACGGCATAGGTAGACCTGCTCGTGTAGGCTGCCCTAAAGAAACGCAGTGGAGAAGTCGAGGGAGTGTAACTCGTAGTCACGCTGCGCTGCTATGTGTAGCAGCGCCTGAAGAGTAGTCATCTTTACGGTCGGGGCGAAGGTCTGAAAGAAGTCCACCCCCTCACGCTGGCTGAAACCTCTAGCCACGCAGCGCGCCTTGAACACAGGCGGCTCTCCAAGGGGCGCTTCACCTTGAGGAGCCAGCGGCCATCGACTACGTTCACCCCAGGTGGGGGAACTGCGTCGACGTAGGTGCTGGTGAATCTCCAAGATGCCATCTCCTGCTCCATGGCATCTATCCACTGAGAGGCCCAGGGTCCCGAGGTCGCCTCAACGTAAGTGCGAGGGTTCGAGTTGTCAAAGGCATCAGGGTCACCCTTAGGGACTAGCAGCATGGAGTAGAGATGGGGAGCAGCCTCGGACAGGAAAGCAAGCTCGAACTGCCTGTCCTCTAGGACGTTACTGCCAAAGGCAGACGCACCCCCAACGGACAGAGGACAGACATGGTCAGAGACTAGAGCGGTGGCGTAGTCAAGACGGCGGGTAGAGGCGAAGTCAACGACAGCAGCGACAAGAGCGTCAAGACTGGAGATAAGAACTGACGGGTCGGTAACGAGAGAGGCAAGGACCTGAGGAACGAGAGGAATAGCGGCGCGAAGGAAGTCAGACAAAGGAGGCAGAGAGACAACATTCGAGAACGGAGGAGGCGACGGGAGGAGGGGAGGACGAGACGCGTGGGAACGGAGCAACATAGGGTGAGAGCGCTGAACAGGAGAGACAGGACGGGCACGAGAGGGATGGCGAGACCAGAAGTGAGACGGAGGCGTGGGGTCAGGAGACACAGGAGGAGACACAGGAGGAGAACGAGGGGGGAAAAGAGCCAGAGACGAGTCCGGTAGCGGAAACACAGGGCCGTAGATAGGCGGGGGAAGCAGCTGCAGGGGAGGCGCCGGTGGGTGTTCAGGGGAGGGAAGACCAAGGAGGCGAAGGGCGGACACCAGCGGCGACTGCTGCTGCTGCTGCTGCTCCAAGCCGACACCAGAACCTCCAGTTGCACAACGGATGCCTCCAGTACTCTCCACACCAACACCCTCATTACAAGAACCACCTCCAGCATCGATGCCAACCCCTGGACTACCACCCCCAGGACCAGCACCCCTAGAACGAGAACCCTCCCGAGCACTGGTGCCACCCCCAGGGCCACCAGGACAGGCCACGACAGTAACCCCAGGACTAGCACCCTGCTCAGCACTCACACCCCCAGAGCTGGCGGACCCCTGCGGCGGCTGCTGCTGCGGCGGCGGCGACTGCGGAGGAGACACCGAGGTGGAGACAGGCGGCAAGAACGATGCCGCGGGGCCACCAGAGTCAGCCGACTCCTCGACCGGGACAACCGATGGGAGGGGAGAGACGTGAGTCAAACCAGACGGGGCGGGACGAGGAGGGAGAGGAGCAGGGGCTACTTGGGGAGTGGGAACCATAAATAGGGGCGGGGAAACCGGGAGACCGCGATGGGGAAAGCGGTGGTAGAAGGAGACAGACTCATCAAAAGTGACGTCACGCGAGTGAAAGAAGCGGTGAGACGGCAGGTGGTAAAATTGCCAGTCAGACGCATCGAGGGGGAAGCCAAGGAAGATACAGGGGACAGTGCAAGCAATGAGCTTGTCCGTGCCAGAGGCACGAACGTGAGCAAGGCAGCCCCAGACGTGGAGCGCAGATGCGTCACCAAAGAACCCGGTCCAGAGAAGGGGCGGCGAAACCTGAGGCCGCTGGGAGTGCGGCCAGAGGTTAAGCTGGTGAGCGGTGTAGCGAACAGCGAACGTCCACTGAAAATGGGGTGCACCGGCATGATCATGGAGGTACGAGCCACCTCCATGACTAAACCGATGTGTCGCTCAGCAACCCCATTCTGCTGCGGGGAGTCCGGCAGGGTGTACGACTAGGTGATGCCCTCCGCACAACAGAACTGGCCAAGCCGACCAGAGGCGAACTCGCCGCCACGGTCGGAGTGGAGACGCAGCATAGGGAGGCCGCAGTGGACTCGCGCAGCTACGACCCACGGGATAAGAACGTCAGGCACATCGGCCTTCCGCTCCAAGGGAAACATTGTGGTGTAGCACGTATAGTCGTAGACAAGCACTAGAAAGTAGCGCTCGCGACGCGGCCCAGGGACAGGGGCTGGGCCCCAAACGTATAGGTGCAGGATCTGGAGTGGCGCAGTGGTAGGGGGAAGCGAGGAGGAGTGAGGAGCACAGCGTAGCCGGCCCTCGACACAAGGCATGCACGGCGGCACAGGCGAGGGAGGGAGGGCAGAGAGCAACGCAGGGAGACCAAAGACAAGACCGTGATGGGAGATATGACGCAAACGCGGGAGTGTGGGGTGACCTAGGCGGTGGTGCCACAGCAGCGACGGGTGAGTGAGCGACCGACACGAGCAAGCCGCAGCAACCTGGGTCGACGTAGGTACCGGGGGGGACGCAGTGTCCAGCGTAAACAGGCCAGACATAGGGTCCTTGGGGAACGTGGTCAGAGGAGCACCAGTGGCGGCCTTGGTACAGACCGTGCACCGCTCGTGACCAAGGAACGTAGTGGTCACGCCAAGGTCCTGAAGACACTCGACATCAACTAGGTTCTTGGAGAACGAGGGGATGTGCACGCCTGTAAGAGAACCCAAGGGGACCGCCGAATAGGGAAGGGTGGTGAAGCTACGGGCAACTACCGGACCTGAGGAGGGGTCAACAAGCGCGACAGTGGCAGGGTCGGCAAGAGGCGTGAGCGAAGTGTGGTCGCGGAAGAAGCAGGTAGATGCTCTAGAGTCAAGCGTGAAGGAGAGCGAAGCAGTAGCGTCCGCTGGAGGAGGGGCTAGCGTGGAGCCTAGGCTAAACAAGGTAGGGGGTCCTATGCCTGACGCAGCAGGGGAACCTAGACTACACACTGCGGACACACCTACGCTAGGAAACACCGGGTAATAGGGTCCAGTCACACTAGATTCATCAGCATACATGGCATACAAAGCAGACCTAATCTGATCCATGTCTATCTCAAAGACAGGCACACGACGACGCACCAGGCTGTACCAGTCAAGGGGGTCCGCCGTGGGGCCGGAGCGGAGACGGAAGAGGTCATCGAGGCGGCGGTAGCAGCGTGCGGCGGTGTGACCGGGGCGGTCACAGATGTTTTCGCAGCAGGGGCCAGACCGAAGCTGGTACTGGCAGTTGACCACACTGGAGCCACCACCCGACACCGAGCTGCGCCCCCCACTACCACCAGAACTGCAAGGCCACCACGGCGGCGGAGGCGCCCACGGCGACTGCTGCTGCTTCTGCTGAGGCTGCTGCTGCTGCTGCTGCTGAGGCTGCTACTGATGCTGCTGCTGCTGATGAGGCACGGGTAATGCGTTAAATATAGGTTGAGCTTTACCAGCCCAGTGATGAGGGTAAGGCCCAGGGCCAGACACTATTTTGAAAAATGACAACCAATAAATGCAGAACCAATCATATGCTAATCAGTGTCATGAGACTAGGTAGCTAGGAAGCCATGGAATGGCACAAGGGTTTAGCTAGGAGAAAGTTGACGAGAGAAAAGAGGTAGAGAATAGAAGAGAGAGGGATACAAGGAGGGGTATTGTACCCTCTACAGTAAGTTTCAATAACACATACCAAGCCTACAATTATATATAAGATATAATTTAACACAACCCATAGGCTTGGTAGCGGCAAGCCCACCACACACACAGCACACTAAGCCACACACCCCCTAGCACCCCCATACTCAGCAGCAGCGACAGCTACTTCAGCACGGTCAACCCCATGGCGCGTGAGGCGAGGCGACGTCGACTACGAGGGCAGCGGCTGCAACGGCAGCGACGGCGGCAGCGTCGACAGCGGCGGCGGCAGCGGCGTGCGGCGGCGGCAGCGGCGTGCGGCGGCGGCAGCGGCATGCGGCGGCGTGGCCAGCGGCACCAGCCGCGGCACCGGCGGCTTCGACGACAGCTGCCGCCAGCGGCGGAGCTCGCAGCACTCGGTGGCGTAGCCGGGCTCCGCGACGGTGGGACGGCCGGCGCGAGTCAGCTGTCGGCTGCGGCAATGGAAGAGGGGATGCAGGGGAAGGGGGGCGGGGCTTCAGCAGCGGACCCTGGAGCGTGCCGCCCCATGTGGCGCGCTGGCTGCATGCGGGCGTGCTGGCCAGCGCTAAGACGGGGCGCTGGCCGCTGCCGTCCGTGCCGTCCGCGCGCTGTCGCGTAGACGCCGCGGCAGCACGACGGCGCCGTCACGCTGCCACATCTCGACGTCGACGGCGCCGTCACGCCGCCAGAGCTCGACGTTGACGTCGCCGTCACGCCGCCACGGCTCGACGTCACAGCAGCACGTCGAGACGGCCGCAGCAGCACGACGCGGCCGGCGGCACGACGACGCCGCCACAGCAGCACGACGCGTCCGCCATGGCAGCGCGAGGGAGAGAGAAGTGCGCGGCGGAAGCGTGATAAGCAAGCCTAGGAAGAGCAACCTGCTCTGATACCATGTCACGAGACTAGATAGCTAGGAAGCCATGGAATGGCATAAGGGTTTAGCTAGGAGAAAGTTGACGAGAGACAAGAGGTAGAGAATAGAAGAGAGAGGGATAAAGGAGGGGTGTTGTACCCTCTACAGTAAGTTTCAGTAACAGCTACCAAGCCTACAATTATATATAAGATATAATTTAACTATCAGACCGTTGTGCTAGAGCAGATTGCTGACTTCCCACAGCAAGGGCAATAGCCTCGTCAAAACTATGCGTTGGATGCTCAACACTAAGCATAATCGCATCAACTGCACTTAACTCCGAACTACCGCCCCCGGGTGCACTCTTATGAATTTTACTCAGATCCGAAACGACCTGGTCCATGTGTGGACGGCCAGTTACGGGCATGGCGGTGCATCGCAGCGCCAGCTGGCCGAGTTGCAGAATGGTATCATGCGGGGCATCAAGGGTGGGGTCCCTAAAGCTCTCTATATCCCCACACGCCAGCAGCGGCTCAGCCTACAGGCACACGCGGAAGAAAGACACAACGAGCAGAACTCAAAGAGTGGGTGAGGCAGAGGGGAAGGAGTGAGGGGGGGGGGGGGTAAAGAGCGTGGCAGTTGGGTTGGACACAGCATGCTTGATAAGAGTTGAGTTGAGACGCGGGCACCGGGAGTAAAACGAGGAGGGTGTTACAGGGGACATGGGGCGGGGGGTGGTGGGGGGTGGTGAGGGGTGGTGGGGGGTGGTAAGCAAGCTCGTCTGCTACCAACGATAGACGGAAAGGGTTAAGAGGCTTCACCCATTGTCGGATGTGCACGTTCTGGTCTCCCAATGGCAAAAGTGCTCTGCGCCCCGTTAGTAGCTCCAGCATAACGACACCATAGCTGTGCAAAGCCAATGAAACAATGGGATTAACAATGACATAATGGGATTAACAATGACATAATGGGATTAACAATGACATAATGGGATTAACAATGACATAATGGGATTAACAATGACATAATGGGATTAACAATGACATAATGGGATGAACAATGACATAATGGGATTAACAATGACATAATGGGATTAACAATGACATAATGGGATCAACAATGACATAATGGGATTAACAATGAAATAATGGGACCAACAAAGAGAGAGTGCTGTCTCAAGCGAAGAAAGGCCCTACCAATAGAGGGCATGAAATGCAATGACGGCCCATGACACTTAAATAGAACTCTACTCCACATACTCTTTTATGAGAAGGCGAGCCATGCAATACACAATGCCTTCACACATGCAGTGCTACAGAGCAACCAACAAACACGGGGATAAACCAGGACGAATCAAGAAGGAAAGGCTGCAAACACCTCATCCCCTCCCCCCTTGCACCAGGGGTGCCCGTAGCCCAGGGTGTCCGTAGCCCGAAGTGCCGGTCACCCAAGGGGCCTTATACGTTGATTCACAACTCCCATCTACAGTCATGGCACCTGCGCACACATCATTTAAGCATCTCCTGCATGGCTCTCTACCTGTACACATCATCATCATCAGCAGCAGCAGCAGCAGTAGCAGCAGTGGCCTTATGTGACTTCACGTACGCAGGGTCCACATAGCCCAAGGTCCCTTGGGAGTTTATTCACAAGTCACCTCTACAGTCAATGCACCCACCTGTACACATCAGCAGCAGCAGTGGCCTTGCAGGAGTTGGAGTACGCAGGGTCCACATAGCCCAGGGTGCAGTTGTGAGACGTCTCAAGACTACACGCCTATCACAATGGTACACATCAAAACTGCACCTGTACACATCAGCAGCAGTGGTGGCCTTGCGGGACTTGGAGTACGAAGGGTCCACGTAGCCCGGGGTGCCGAGAATGCGAGTCGTGTCGCCACTGGAGCTCTCATCCCCCATGCGCGCTATGCCAAAATCCGCTATCTTGGCCTGGAGTATTGAAGACAGACGGGAGAAGAAGGGAGAACAAGGGCGTTGGCGTGCTTTCATCTCCCATCCACTTGATGCCAGTGTCAGCTAGTTTGCCTGGAAACACAAGAGACAAAGAAAGCTGCTTTTGAGAAGTTTTGAAAGCATTAGGATGGAGGCCAGGATGGAGGCCAGGATGGAGGCCAGGATGGAGGCCAGGAAACGCTGGCCAGGATGGCCAAGTCTGCAAGCCCCTGGAGTGGAAATAGGCGAGAGCAGAACAATTTCGGAAGGGAGAACAAGAACTCTGGACGCTTTCCACTCCACTCACATCAGCGCAGTCGGATACATCATGCCCACCTGCAGATGGATCTCCATTGTAAAGCAACAAGCTTGGTGAGCAGGCCCTTAGTGGGCAGGCCCTTAGCGCGCATGCCTCGTTCGAATGCTTTGAACAGCTGGTGATAGTGCGTCCACACTCCACGATGAAACACTGCGCGCTAGGTTAGGTGACACGTATCAGTAGCTTGTGCATTGTTCTTTCGTTGGGTTAACCTCAATCTTCAACAGTTCTACTTTGCCGTGTGCATCCAAAAAAGGTAGAGCAGCCTTTTTGCACTAACGCTCAGATGCACGCCGGGTCTGCTGTTAAATTTAAGGTAAGTCACCGGCAGCGGATCCTAACACCAATGGCCCTGCCCTCGTTGCAAAGAAACAGGGAGGAGATGTGGGCATGCTTGGTTGGTTGGTGATGCACTTACCGTCATGTGTCTGTGGCTCGGTTGGTACACTTACCGTCGTGTGTCTGTGGCTCGGTTGGTGCACTTACCATCGTGTGTCTGTGGCTCGGTTGGTGCTCTTACCGTCGTGTGTCTGTGGCTCGGTTGGTGCTCTTACTGTCGTGTGTCTGTGGCTCGGTTGGTGCTCTCACCGTCGTGTGTCTATCTAGCAGGATGTTGGCGGGCTTGATGTCGCGATGTACGATGCCAAAGCTGTGCAGGTACTGCAGCCCACGAGCTATGTCAATAAGCACACTCAGGCGCTGCTCCAGGGAGAGAGGGGGGCGCGCGCCTGCAGGTAATGAAAAGATAATGAAGCCAATGAGGTGCGAAGGTGGAGGGGAGGAGTATGGGAACCCTTAGGTTCCTCCGGCCCAGGCTGTTAGGACTCACCTTCGTGGCTGCCCATATGCCTTGCCTGTACTCTTCTTCTATGTAATACAACGGACCAATTGAGTATGGGAAGGAGGACTTCTCAACGGACCATCACTCACCCTTCTTGCATGTAAATACCGCTTCCACTTACCTTTCTCGGCATGCATATACTGCAGCAGGTCGCCTCCGTCCATGAACTCATAAACCACAATCTGCTCGTGCTCCTCCGTGCCAGCATCCATATGTACACAATACCCCAGCAGCCGCACCAGGTTCGGGTGGTGCTTCGATGCCATCTGCTGCACCTGCTTGGACAAATGTGAACCGAGGGGAAGAGGAGAATGAGGAGGAGAATGAGGAGGAGAATGAGGAGGAGAATGAGGAGGAGAATGAGGAGGAGAATGAGGAGGAGAATGAGGAGGAGAATGAGGAGGAGAATGAGGAGGAGAATGAGGAGGAGAATGAGGAGGAGAATGAGGAGGAGAATGAGGAGGAGAATGAGGAGGAGAATCAGAGGAGAATGTGAACCAAAGGTGACAAGCGAACATCCAAATGCGTTGCCCCTCTCCTCTAGTCCCTGATCGCAATCTTAGAACTCTTCACATCCCAGGCACCGCGCGCCACGTGTCTACAAGAGCCAATTATCCAGAGGAGTCCCTTAGTGTCCCTTAGTGCCCCTTAATGCCGCTTAGTGCCCCTTAATGCCCCTTAGTGCCCTTTAGTGCCCCTTAATGCCGCTTAGTGCCCCTTAGTGCCCCTTAGTGCCCCTTAGTGCCCCTTAATGCCACTTAGTGCCCCTTAGTGCCCCTTATTGCCCCTTAGTGCCCCTTAGTGCCCCTTAATGCCGCTTAGTGCTCCTTGGCGCCCCGTCACGCCTACAAGCCTCACCTCTCTCCTGAAGTCCTTGGTGATGACTTTGGCTCGCTTCACGGCCCAAACAGAACAAGGGTCGGCAGCAGGCACCCCGCGGTACACGTCGCCGTACCCGCCCGTCCCCAGCAGGTTGTGGGGCGACCAGTTGTCAGTGGCCTGGGTCAGCTCGCTCAGGGGCAGCTCCTGGCACAGTGGAACTGCTGCTGGTGGCGTTCAGGAAGTGGGTGGATGGGTTGAGAGAGGACGGTGTGAGGTGGAGTGAGGTGGAGTGAGGTGGAGTGAGGTGAAGTCGCCAACAGCAACACCTCGGTGCACATCAGTATTGCCAGGCGAATGGCCAGCGGGTTGCGGGCGACGAGCTGTCGGTGGCATGGGCTAGCTCAAGTTATGGCAACTCACGGCACAGGGGCACTGCTGCTGGTGGTGGGACGCATGGGTGAGAGAGAGGGTGTGAGGGTTGCAACTGGCACGCTGGCACCTCTTCGTACACATTGCCAGATGGGAGCCGGGCCACTGCTGCTAGTGAGGCAGGGGGTGGACTGGATCGATCTGAGACACCATGCGGTGAGGGAGGTTCAAGGACGGTGGATGGATGGTGGGATGGGTGGTGAGATGGGTGGTGGGATGGGTTCCATACGTAGGAAAACCACTGTCTTGACTTGCGCATTGTTCAGCAGCACTTGCCTTGGTCAATCCGTGCAGCACCCTTCAGCCCCGTGCGCTTCTCGGGCTGTTGGCGAGTGTGCCTCAGCCAAAGGAAAAGGGCAAGGATGACTAGAAGAAGAAGGCAAGCAGCGCCAACCGCAATCCCTGTGATAGCTGCGGCTGATAGGCCTGATGATACGCCTGATGACGGCTCTGGGAGCATTTGATGGGACGGGCAGGATTGGATGGGAGGGGATGGGCCATGACGCCATGAGACGGGAAAGTATGTGACGGGAAGGGAAGGGAAGGGAAGGGGTGGGATTGGATGGGACGGGATGAGACGTGAAGCCATGAGACGGGACGGGGATGGGATAGTAGCTTGAGGTAGCATGGGATGGGATGGCGTGATGAAATGGGATGGCTATGGAATGGTTGAGGGATGAAATGAGATGGGCGGAAACGAGAAGCTTGATGCTCAAACACGACAGAAGGGCAGATGGAGAGGGTTTTCAGACTCGCCAACAGAGCAGGTGAGCGATTCATTGACTTGTGCGGCACGGTAGCCCGGCGAACAAGTACAGGTGCCTTTCAGTCAACTCAAAGCAGACTCACCCGTGGTGCAGGTGAGCTTTTTGAGAATTCTCAAAAACCTTTCAGTCAACTCAAAGCAGACTCACCACTGGCGCAGGTGAGCTTTTTAGAATTCTCAAACACCTTTCAGTCAACTCAATGTCAAAGCAGACTCACCCGTGGTGCAGGTGAGCGATCCATTGGCTTGCGCAGCGTGGTAACCAGGCGGGCAGGTGCAGGTGTAACCGGTGTCATTGCCCGTGCCAGTGCAAACGCCCTCGCCACAGGGATTCTCCTTCAAGGGGCATGCGCCAGTGCCAGTGCCTGTGCGCACATGGGCCGTGTTAGGCAGGCATGCAATGACAGAATGCCACGTCAGAATGCCACGTCAGAATGCCAGGTCAGAATGCCCGAAAGAGTCCGGTTATGAAACACATGCAGCAAAAACCGCTACTCGTGAGGCTGCTTCTGAGGCGCCTTAAAAAACGCATGGCAGGCGCCTAAACTACAACCCCATGACTCGCAGAGGTGGAAGCATGCCTACTGCACACTCTTTGCCTAAGCACTGCTCCCCAAGGCATCACTTGGCGCACAGTATGGGTCGCCTGCAGAGGGGTTGACTTGACTGAAGCCTGTGGCGCACAAGCAGCCGATGAACGCCGACCCGTTGGTACGGCAGAAGCCCGGCAGACACAAGCCCCGGGTGGCATCTGAACAGTTGACCGGCCTGCCTGGTTTGGTGGAAAGAACAGATGGGATAGAGGAGCATAGAGGTGAATGGGATGAGGGCAAGGGAAGCCAGTAAATTGGCTACGGGTATGAGTTGGAAGATATGAGCCCTGTCAGACAGACACACGTGCTCACTGACGCAAAGTTGAGCGTTTGGTTGGGTGGGTTGATTTCAGAGACCGAACGAGCTGGACCGGGTAGCCAGCTGGAGCGAGCTTGAGGGAAGGGGGGTGAGCTGACGAAAAGAGTACAGTTAGCTGAATGAGAGGGGACTCAAGGAGTCTGCAGGGAGACTCCTTTTGAGGCTCCTCAAAAGTGGCTGCAGGGAGAGTCACGGAGTCCGCAGGGAGAGTCACGGAGTCTGCAGAGAGAGTCACGGAGTCTGCAGGGGGACCCAAGGAGTCTGCAGGGGGGCTCATTACTGGAGTACTGGGAGCTGTGGTACTGAGCCAGAGAATGGTGAGGAGGGGGGGGGGCATCACCTGGGAGCTTGGAGCACTTGAAGGGCGTTTCAGGCATGCCGCATGAGCATGAGTAGGCCGTGCCAGCCACCCAGTAACAGCGCGGCGTGATGTCCATACATGCATAGATGGCATCGGAGCACTGCCACATGTTCACCTCTGCCATACGCATGGGGGGGTTGCGCAGGGGGGGGGGCGGGGGGTGGGCGGGGGTGGGCGGGGGAAGGGGTGTTGGAGGAAAGGGGCCTGTTGCACTGAAAATGCCCACCGCACACATGCATAGAGGGCATTGGAGCACTGCCACACGTTCACATGTTTACCTTGGTTGCAGTAGAAGGCGTGAATAATTGGGCGGGGGAGGGGGAGAGGGAAGGGGTTTGGATAGCAAGGGTTTCCATTCGATGATGTTTGAAAACGTGTAGGCTGTTTGATTTGCAAATGAAACCGCATATGGCGGGAGTGTCTAGTTTTGATGAGTGTAGCGGTGGTGTAAAAAGGCAGGTTGTGCAATGACAATTCTGCAGAGATCCTCCGCACATCACAATGTCCCTTCATAATTCATACTCACACGCAGAGTCAAAAAGACTTTCAATTTGGTGATGAAAGTGACACGAACTGACGGTCATGCCGACTCACCCGTGACATGAACTGACGGTCAAAAAGACCGTGGTACATCATGTGGGCTCACCCGTGGTACATCATGCGGGCTCACCCTTGGAGCATGACGGCATTTGGTTGGACGAGGTCTGCACGTAGCCCGAGGGGCAGTGGCACGAGTACCCCGCTGCTGCCGAAGAGTCGTTGACACAAGGGCCGGGGAGGCAGGGGTTGGTGGAGAACTGGGAGCAACTGCCTTGGGGCGCGCCCGCTGACCCAGGCGGTACTGAGAGTGGGAAGGGAAGGCATGCGAATGGGAATCATTGGTTAGTGCCGGATGGACCATTCAAGTCATTTTTACGAGACCCCTCATGGTGACAAGCGAGTGAGTGAGTGCTCGCTTGATAAAGGGGTCCTCCTCAGATGCACTGTCATGGAAACAATGGCGGTGCAGCACCCATATAGCACAACTTTAGGCATGTGTGATATCCCTTTACCCAACACGCATGTTACACACACACTGTAACACACACCCCCACATGCAATTAACCCCCCCAAAGCCTTACCTCTACATTTTGTTGTGCGCCCAATGCTGACCTCGTCAAAACCACCGGGGAAGTCAGCAGCTGTAGCCAGAGGCAGCTGGGGCGTAAGAAATTTACTTTTGAGACACCACTAAACTTCGTACACAACCCCCCAAGGCTTACCGCTGCATATTGTTGTGCGCCCAATGGTGAACTCGTCAAAACCATTGGGGCAGTCGCAGCTGTAGCCAGAGGCAGCTGAGGCGTTGCTGGCACAGATGCCCGGCTGGCATGGGTTCGCCAGCAAAGATGCACACTTGTCCGGTGGTGGTGATGCTGACGGTGCTGCTGCTGACGGTGCTGCTTCTGACGGCGCTGCTTGTGACGGTAGTGCTTCTGACGGTAGTGCTTCTGACGGTAGTGCTTCTGACGGTAGTGCTTCTGACGGTGCTGCTTCTGACGGTGCTGCTTCTGACGGTGGTGATTCCGACGGTGGTGGCGGTGATGATGGTGGTGGTGGCGGTGATGGTGACGGTGGTGCAGTTGAGTTGCTATCTTCTGGCGGGAGGGATGGGACGGTGGAGAGGTTGAATGAGCAGAAGAAGCACGGACGTGAGACGTGCTACTTCTGCAGAAGAAGCACGGACGGACCCACGGCTGGGATGAGGACTCAAGGAAGGAAGGAGGGCCTGAGGAGCACGGGCCTAAGGAGCACGCCACGGGCCTAAGGAGCACGCCACGGGCTTAAGGAGCACGCCACGGGCCTAAGGAGCACGCCACGGGCTTAAGGAGCACGCCACGGGCCTAAGGAGCACGCCACGGGCCTAAGGAGCAAGCCACGGGCCTAAGGAGTACGCCACGGGCCTAAGGAGCACGCCACGGGCCTAAGGAGCACGCCACGGGCCTAAGGAGTACGCCACGGGCCTAAGGAGCACGCCACGGGCCTAAGGAGTACGCCACGGGCCTAAAGAGCACGCCACGGGCCTAAGGAGCACGCCACGGGCCTAAGGAGCACGCCACGGGCCTAAGGAGCACGCCACGGGCCTAAGGAGCACGCCACGGGCCTAAAGAGCACGCCACGGGCCTAAGGAGCACGCCACGGGCCTAAGGAGCACGCCGCGGGCCTAAGGAGCACGCCGCGGGCCTAAGGAGCACGGCATGGGCCTGAAACGTGTTAAGGCTGGCAGTGGCATCGTAGTGGGAGGTTTGAGTCGTCTCAGAGCTAGGGACGAATTCCCAGAAAGCCTGAGGGGCATGGGCCGCACAGCGAGTGAAGGCTGCCAGTGGCATTCCAGTGCGAGTTTTGAGTCGTCTACAAATTGCGTGAAACGAGGCGAGTCTCGTTTTGAGTCGTCCCGAAAGTAGAGACAAACTACCGGGGAGACTGAGGGGCATGGCGCTCTAAGGCTGGCAGTGACATTGCAGTGCAGTGTGAGGACTGGCACCGAGAAGCAAAAATGAGGAGGGGAGAAGCAAAGGGACAAGGACGAGAGAAACTGGGCTGACCAGGAGCGCAGTAGGGGGGCTTGGAGGACACGTTGCGCTGCGAGAAGCCAGCAGCACAGGCGCAGCCAAGGAGCTGAGAGCCGTCGCTGACACACGTGCCTGGCACGCATGCGCCTGCTGCCATGTCCCTGCATCCTGCTGGCTTGCTGGCTGTGGCTGTCCCAGCAGCAGGAGGGCGGGAGAGAGCGAGGAAATAGGGTGAGGAGGGATACAGAGGCAGCGATAGGAGGGGGCAGGGAGTTGGCACTTTGGATAGGGAAGATGGTGGGTGAAGAAAACACCAAGTGGAAATACCGGGAGGAAAGAGGGAAGGGAGGAAGACCAGGGAAGAATGAGTAAGGAAGAGGAGGACGGGCGGGAGAGAGGAAAGGATGCAAGGATGGAGAGGAGGGAGGAGGGAGTGGATGGAGTTGATATGAGCAGAATCCGGCCAGCAGGGAGGGTGGGAAGGTGGGAATGTGGGCTTGCCATGGATTGTTTCCGTTGCACGGCCCTGAAATGAGGGCGCACGACCAGGGCAAGGTGACTTTTGAGTCGACTCAGAAGGGAGCGGGGGGAGGTGGGGGGAATGTGGGCCTGCCGTGTACTTTTTCAGATGCACGAACCTGAGATGAGGGTGCAGGACCAGGGCGTGTCAGGGTTGGTGCAGGAGCAGGAGTAGGAGGAGGAACCGTAGAAGTAGCAGCGAGGGGTGGAGTCAAGACACGCCATGAGGCTGCTCAGACACTGCGACTGGATGGTACCTGCTGGCGGTGCACATGTGATGGTGGCAGAGACACGTGGGTGGCAGACACGTGGGTTACAGAGTAACGGAATCAGACACATGGGTAACAGTAACAGAGTAACGGAATCAGACACATGGGTGACAGAGTAACGGAATCAGACACATGGACAGGGTGGGTAGATGGCCGAGTGGTACCAGACATCATTATGAAAGGTTGGAAGCCTCCGGGCTGCAGACCTGCTGTCTCTGGCGAGTTCCAGAGCGTTGTAAAGACAAATGTCACGAAATCCATGTCAACAGCTCCATGCCAATCAAGTGTCAATCAAATGTCAATCAAGTGTCAGTCAAGTGTCAGACAAGTGTCAATCAAGTTGTCAATCAAGTGCCTGCCTGCACGACTCCCCCCTGACAGTAACAGTAACTGCACGACTTTTCAGATTCAAGGCCCGACTCACCCATAGCCGTAAGATTCAAGGCCCAACTCACTCATAGCCGTCAGAAGCAAGGCCCGACTCACCCATAGCCGTCAGAAGCAAGGCCCGACTCACCCATAGCCGTCAGAAGCAAGGCCCGACTCACCCGGCTGCCCGTCAACTCTTGCTGCGAGCATGGTCGCGAGCAGCATCACCGCCATGGTGACCGCTGCAGGCAGCACGGCTGGCAGCCGTTGCATGATCATGATGAGATGAGATGCTGATGCTGATGCTGATGCACACGCTGATGATGGGACGGACGTCAGATGAGTCCAGATGCACTGACGAGGCGTGCAAAACGGCGCAGGACGGTGGAGCAGCGGTGAGGACGACGAGAATAGCACCAGCCTCCTAGCGGTAAGCGGTCGTGATGAATATGAAAGAAACACTCCTCCTAGTGGAAAGCGGTCCACGAATGAGGTACGGGTTTTCTAGACTGCTGTGCCGAGCTTAGTAGCTCAACTACGGACGAACGCGACCGTGAAGCCGCAAAGGAATGATACGGCTGAGTCAAAGGGACGAGGTGAAATACTTGCGCGGACAGATTTACTCGGAGTAAAACTTGTCGCCAAGACAGTTGCAGGAGCCTGCGATCATCTGCGAAGCGAGGCGTGACGATTGCAGGAACGATAAGGTACGAGCTTGGTCGTTGTCGTGCTTTGGTGAACTCTGTTATGTTCAAAACAAGACGTAAACGCTGCTGAAAAGTGGTGTTGGCCTCGAAAGTCTTGGATGAGCTAGCGGCTTTGAGCTTTTCACGACTCTGTTTCACTGACCCAAGAATCCATCGACCATTTCACTCATTCAAAACCAACCCCAATTCGCTCGGTGCGCCCCAGTCAAGCAGTTCCCGTTGGTCAACTAAAAGGCCAAAGACCGTGAAAGTCGGGTGGAACTGTTTCGGGGTTGTGACTCCACCACGGCTTGAGTGGACCCATAACTATTTCCTGTATGAGCATGTATGATACGTGATTGAACGCTCTAGCCGAACACAGAAGCATCACTTGGGCAAATGCAACATAAGCATAAAACACGGAAGCCGGCCCTGCAGTAGCCTGTCAAACAACCGGGTCTACCAACAAAATTCACGTCTTCAAGCTTCTCTCAACAATTCAACATGAAATACACATTAATGTTCAAATCCTCACAAGCTCAAACAGCCCTGCCACCGCCTGTCCAACACCCAGGTCTGCCATTTCCTCGAAAGCAATATCCGCAATAGCGCCATGCCGCAAGTGGCCCACTCCAAAATCATGAGGTACCGGTGACACAAGCATACACCAACACCACTGTCCACGGTTTCCAGCATTCACTTCTTCTTGGCAGCAGCCTTGGTGACCTTAGCACCAGAGGGGTCCTTCTTCTCAACGCTCTTGATGACACCCACAGCCACGGTTTGCCTCATGTCACGCACGGCGAAACGACCAAGGGGAGGGTACTCAGAGAAGGTCTCCACGCACATGGGCTTGGTGGGAATCATCTTCACGAAGCACGCATCGCCGTTCTTCACAAACTTGGGCTCCTTCTCCAGCTCCTTGCCGGAACGCCTGTCCACCTTCGTGATGATCTCAGCGAACTTCACGGCGATGTGGGACGTGTGGCAATCAAGCACCGGGGCGTAGCCGCTGCTAATCTGCCCGGGGTGGTTCATGATGATGACCTGCGACGTGAAGTTGGCAGCCTCCCTGGCGGGGTCGTTCTTGGAGTCGGACGCGACGAAGCCACGCTTCAGCTCCTTCACCGACACGTTCTTCACGTTGAAGCCCACGTTGTCGCCGGGCGCCGCCTCGGGCAGGGACTCGTGGTGCATCTCCACCGACTTCACCTCAGTGGTCAGCCCGCTGGGAGCGAACACCACAACCATACCGGGCTTCAGCACACCAGTCTCCACACGACCCACCGGCACTGTTCCGATACCGCCGATCTTGTACACGTCCTGAAGGGGCAGACGCAGGGGCTTGTCGGACGGCCTCTTCGGCTCGGTCACCTGATCCAGAGCCTCCAGCAGGGTGGGGCCCTTGTACCAGTCCAGGTTGGTGGAGCGCTCAATCATGTTGTCTCCCTCGAAGCCAGAGATGGGCACGAAGGGAATCTTGTCGGGGTTGTAGCCGACCTTCTTCAGGTACGAAGACACCTCCTTCACGATTTCCTCATAACGAGCCTTAGAGTACTTGGGGGTGGTGGCATCCATCTGGAGAAGGCAAAACAAGGAACGAAATCAGTGACGATTCTACAGACCGATGCTTCATGGTAAAGCAGATCAACCTAGATCAAGGTTTTTTTATAACCATATCGTGTTATAGCGTCGTGACTGAATGATCGGTAGGAATTCATGACTGAATCCAGGAATCCCATGCTTACCTTGTTGCAGCAGCAGATCATCTGCTTCACACCAAGGGTGAACGCCAGCAGAGCGTGCTCACGGGTCTGACCGTCCTTGGAAATACCAGCCTCGAAACCACCAGTGGTGGAGTCGATAATAAGGACAGCGCAGTCGGCCTGCAGGAGAAGATAGAAATCTCAGTCAGATCTAAAACTTCCAGCAGCCAATCAGGAAAAGCAACCATGGATCTTCATCGCAATCGGGATCTGGCGAACACTGACCTGCGAGGTACCCGTAATCATGTTCTTGATGAAATCGCGATGGCCAGGAGCGTCGATGACCGTGCAGTAGTACTTGTTGGTCTCGAACTTCCACAGGGCGATATCGATGGTGATACCACGCTCGCGCTCGGCCTTGAGCTTGTCCAGCACCCAGGCGTACTTGAAGGACCTCTTGTTCATCTCAGCAGCCTCCTTCTCGAAACGCTCGATCACACGCTTGTCAATCCCACCCAGCTTGTAGATGAGATGACCGGTCGTCGTCGACTTGCCGGAGTCGACATGGCCGATGACGACAATGTTGATATGGGACTTTTCCTTACCCATGTTGGCAACCTGAAAAGCAGGGACGTTAACAATAGCACAGCGAAAAAAACGTCAGATCTATTGTTGCTAGAGCAGCCCAATGTCACGCATAGCGAACAGAGTAATCACGTAACGCTCGAAGGGAAGGCGACTATGAAATACTAGCGCAGGGAGCCATTAGTGCCTAACTCACCTGAGATTACTGAACAGAGGATTCAGGCGAGAAACGGAAAGGGCTAGAATGAGACCCTAACCCCAAACTTCAGCAGGGAGGGATGGTTGACTCAACAGGCAAGATGAAAAGGTGATCCACCAGATGGAGGCTTTGACGACAGGCTGACGACAGGGGTGCCGTGATGACTTCGCCAACGTCGTACTTGCCGGTTGCGAAGAACGTTTGAAGGCTTTACTTGCATTTGGACCTTTCACGTGGCGCTACTTGGTTCGACGTGAGTTTTGCTTCGTGCCAGCAAGGCACAATTCGAAGCCCAGATTTCCTTTCGATGAGTGGGTTATCTCCCCAAGCACGCAACTGCTTTCGAAGGAATAGCATAAACGCTGAAATAGCACATGCTCTACTAGTTGAACATTTGCATGATATAGCACGCATCCCTTACCAGTACATGACAATCATGTGACGCTGCCTCCTGAAATAAGATCTGCCTCGATGTTGGAACCTCAACTTCGGGTAGTTCCATACGAATGCACACTTTAGGTTCGTCAACAACGCACTGAGAATTAACATGCCTACTCATGTCGGTTTGTCGTTTCAAATCCGGTGGACAACCTACCATATGGATGATATTTAGCCATTTGACAATGGGATATCACAGGAAGATGTGGAAATGTTCCAACCGCTCACCTCCACAAACACTCCACTGTTGAGCTTGCAGCTTGAGTAGTGAGAGCAGACGGCACAAATCCCCTCACTGCACCTGAAGCATTTCTCGTGACTAAACTCTACCTCCACTGATACCTCCTTCCCAGGTAACAACGACAGGTAATTCTCAGAGAACACAGCAGGAAGCACCCTCTTGTTATCTGACCGGAGACGCATGGTCAAGAGGGCGAAAAAGGCCACGCCTTCAGCTTTAACGTCCTCATTCACAACGTCAGCAACCTCATTCCGAAAACCCTTGCCCCCCTTGGCTCCCTCTCCTCCTTGTGGGTCTGCTCTCTGTTCTCTAACACAGGCGCCTGTATGGATGGGATTGCTCAGCAGCAGGTGGGCCCTCCACCAGATGCGCCTCTTTTCTGGCTGTCCTACCTCTCCTGCTTGCCCAGGCAATCCGGCAGGTGAAGCAAGATGAGCAGGAGCCGAAGCAGCCTGAGCAGAATCAGACTGAGAAGAAGCAGCCTGAGCAGAAGTAGCACAGCCATATGAGCCTGGAGGGATGCCTGCTGCTGGTGGGTTTGCGGTGCTAGAGGGGGGAATGGGCGAGCGGATGGGGGAGATGTGGAGGAGGGAGATGGAGAGCTGCACCTTGCGCTGCCTGAACGCCCCTCCCAGGGCACGGAAGTCACCCACGTAGGCGAAGGGGGGCGAGGGAGCGGAGGGAAAGGAAGCGGGTGGATAGGGGGACGAAGGGGATGAGGTGGTGCATGCATTTGGGATGTGGGCTGAGGAGGGTGATGGGGGTGATGGGGCCGATGGGGGTGATGGGGCCGATGGGGGTGATGCTGGTGATGGCGGTGCTGCTGGTGCTGGTGGCATTGGGAGGCTCGTGCGATGTGGCTCCAGTGGGAGGGTGGTGAGCCAGTAGAAGTTGCGCGATATGGTGGCAGGGGGGGACGATAGGGGCGATGGAAAGGATTGATGGTGTGGAGAGGAGGAGGTGTGGTAGGGGGAGGAGTGGAGGTCAGGAGAGGAGGGGTGGGAGGGTTGGAGCAGACGGAGGAGGAGGAAGACGGTGGGGGGTGGGTTGGGAGGGGAGAAGGGGAGGCGGGGGAGGTTCACCTGGGTGGACGGTGTTGGGGGAAAGGGGACGGAGGAAAAAACACGTGAGATAAGGTGAGAAGATCTGGTGCCAGGGTGGAGTTGGGAGAGTCTTTGCAAAGTGTGGATTTGGGGAGGGTGGGTTGGAGGATGGTGGATTTGGGAAGCGTGGGTTGGGAAGGGTGGGTTTGGGAACGGTGGGTTTGGGAACGGTGGGTTTGGGGAGGGTGGGTTTGGGAAGGTGGGTTTGGGAAGGTGGGTTTGGGAAGGGTGGGTCTGGGAAGGGTGGGTTTGGGAAGGGTGGGTTTGGGAAGGTGGGTTTGGGAAGGGTGGGTTTGGGAAGGGTGGATTTGGGAAGGGTGGGTTTGGGAAGGGTGGGTTCGGGAAGGGTGAATTTGGGAAGGGTGGGTTTGGGAAGGGTGGATTTGGGAAGGGTGGGTTTGGGAAGGGTGGATTTGGGAAGGTTTCTGGCGTGGGTGGGGTTGAATAGGACGCTGCATCCATGTTCTCGTGTGCTATAGCACCGACAACCATCTCCCATTGCATTTAGGGTATACTGACACTCCTCTGCCTCACGCTGTAATCCCCTCACCTGTAGCTGGGTCGCAGTGCAAGAGGTTAGTTTTGAGACGCCTCAAAACTAACCTTCTTAGCCACGGTACACTGACACTGCCTAACGCTGTGATTCCCTCACCTGAAGCTGGGTCTCGGTGCAAGAGAATGGCATGCAGGTGAGCGAGTAGGGGGAGACAGGAGAGGCGGAGTAGGCAGAGGAGGGCGGAGAGAGCGGGTCAGAAGCAGGTGTGGGAGCGAGAGTGGCAGCGAGGGAGGAGGACGCATGCCAGAGGCAGTGGCCGGTGGGGAGGAGGATGGACGCCTCGACAGTCAGGGCGGAGAGGGTGTGTGCTGTGCTGTTGACCACCTGATGGGCGAAGAGAGACCATGGGGGAGGGTAGCAGGCAGGGACGGAACGAGAGGACCAGTTGGGAGCACAGAGGCGTGTCAGAGGCAGTGACCACCAGAGAGGTGCATGGACGCCTCCATAGTGAGAGAGGAGACGGGGTGAGCTGTTGAGAAGGGAAGGGGAGAAGTGGAAGGGCGAAGGGGAGGAGCGGGAGAGACATCAGGAGTTAATGTTTACAACAGGAGATAATGATTACAACAGGAGATAATGTTCACAACAGGAGATAATGTTCACAACGGGAGATAATGTTCACAACAGGAGATAATGTTCACAACAGGAGATAATGTTCACAACAGGAGATTCGCAAATCATGGACAGTGGCGTTGGCAACCGCACATGAAAGCGGGGCTCCGGTGTTTGGCCATGGGATCGTGTCAGGCACTATAAATTCGCTAGCCTCCTCTTGTACAGAGGAACTTCACGGTTCGCAGGCAAGCCAAGCGTGTTTCCTTCCTGCCGGCCACAAGTCAGCCACGTGGGCTGCAGATTTTTTAGGCGCCTCAAAACTCGTTTCCTGCCAGCCACAAGTCAGCCCCGTGGGCTGCAGATTGAATCGCAGCTGGCTTTCCAGCAGCACTAGGCTACTAGCGGACTAGTGCTTGGCAGAACCACGCCTGGCTTAGCTGGCGAACCGGAAAGTTTCTTGCTTGGCATGAACCCTTCAGCTGTACATACAGACATCCACTCTTTCCCGGCGTCGAAATTAAGCTGGCCACCGACGATCGATCTGCAACATTTCAAAGTCTAGATATAAAGCACCCGGAAACCACCAAGGCCTATCGGCTTGCAGATTCAGTTGCAAGTGACAGGCCATCTCATCTCATGACAGATACTGGCCCCTGTGGGAGACACCACGTGGTCGTACAGCTGATCCCTTGAAGACTCCCTTGAAGACCACCCCCTGCCTCTCATCTCATCAAGGAGTGGTTAAAGAGTTCACCCACTCGCCCCGTGCGCAGGTTCAGCTGCACGTGGTAGAGCAGGTTAGTTTTGAGACGTCTTAAAACTCACCTCTACCCTCATTCAAGTAGCGGTTAGAGTGTGTTCACCCACCTCCGCTCGCCCCGTGTGCAGGTTCAGCTGCACGTGCACGGGCTCCAAGGCACACCGCACGCCGTGCAACCCCCCCCCGTGGCCGCCAGCAGGTGGTCGTACAGCCGGACCGAGCCCTCCATCTACATGTGGTAAGGTCTCACACCCATGCGCCCCATGCTCACCTCCACTCGCCCCGTGTGCAGGTTCAGCTGCACGTGCACGGGCTCCAAGGCACACCGCACGCCGTACAGTCCCCCAGTGGCCACCAGCAAGTGGTCGTACAGCTGACCTCTGAGCCCCCCCCACGGGTTCTGCCCCTTCCACAGCAGCACGCCCGTGTAGGGCCGCCACATCCTCGAATTCCATGCCTCGAACAGCGAGCGGTATTGCAGATAGTTGGCGATCTGGGCCTGTGGTGGGCGGGTGTGTGGGGGGGGTGGGAGAGGAGAGCAAGTGATGGCGGGATATGATGTCGTACTGCTGACTCCTCAGGTCCCCCATGGGTTCTTTCTGTCTGTCCCTTCCACATCAGCACCCCCGACTCGGGCTGCCACATCGTGGCATTCCACACTTCAAACAGCGAGCGGTACTGCAGGTAGATGGGCATCTGGGCCTGTGGGGGGGAGTGTGGTGGGGGTGAAGAAGGGAGGGAGTCGGGCATGGGGTGATGGTGGGGTGGGATAGATGGCCATCTGGGCCTGGTCGGGAGTGTGTGTGTGGATGGAGGGGGTATGTGGGGAATCTTATGAAGTCTCTAACTACATGCAAAGGCGCCACATCTTGGAGCTCCAAGCTTCGAACAGCGAGCGGTGTTGGTCTCAGGAGGCGGCGAACTGGGCCTGGTGGGATGGAGGGGAGAAGGGGGGATGCGGTGTAGGTAATGGTCTCAATTATAGACACAGGTGGGCACATCAAACAGCTCCACGCTTTGCATCTTTGCCCGCGAGAGCCATCTTGACTATGCAGCCCGACATAGAAACATACTTTTCTAAAACCGCAAAGGTTTCTATCCCATACGAACTGAGCCTATTTGATGTTATCTCCAATAGGGAACAAGCCTGAAATATTGTATTGTGCAACATGACCCATGGTGTCGGAACGGAACCCACACCGCAGCATCCGCAAGATGCTAGTTGAAGGGAGCAGAGGCGTGTGCCACAGGTCATCCACCGCTCACCTGGGCACAGAAGTCGTCAAGCCCATCCATCCACGTCTCCGCAAGGGAGGATCTATTTCGCATGGCGTTGACGCTCTCCTCGATGCACACCAATGTACCCTGCAGCGTCTTTTGAGCCGACTCAAAAGACAACCCAGAATGCACTGCTCACCTTTGTGACTTTCGAGTCGACTCAAAAGGCACCTCGTTACAATGTCACACAACCCAGAATGCACTGCTCACCTTTGTGACTTGAAAAGGCGCACCTTTCACCGTGTCACACAAGTCGTCAAGCCCATCCACGTGTCCACAGGTGAAGATCTGCTTCTTCTCACGCACCACCAACCAACCGCTGCACGCTGCACGCACCACCAACCACTGCACGCTGCACGCTGCGGGAACTTTTGAGTCGACTCAACTCAAACATCACCACCCCAGAAGTGCACCTCTCACTTGGTTAGGAACACGCCATCCGCTCACCTTGCCACAGAAGTCGTCAAGCCCATCCATGTCTCCATACGTAAGGATCTGGTTCTTCACATGTGTTGACCCTCGTTTCCAGGCGCCACTGAAAACCGCAGCCTGCTGGATCGCCGCTTCCACTCCTCCCCCACTCCTCACTCGCATTAACCCCCTCGGTCCTTTATCCCCCTCCTCCCCTCCCTTCGTCCCCACTGCCTCCATGCCATACGGTATGTACGTGTGCACCCTCCATCCCTCGCTCTCCTCCTCCACACACTCACCCCCACACTCCTCCCACCTCCTCCCGAACTTTGGCGGGCACCAGTCGCTCTCGGGCAGAAACTCGCGCAAACTCTCGGCCTCGGGCACCCCAACAGACCCGATCTCAGGGTTAAACGCGTACGGGTAGTAATCCGGACAGAAGAAATCTTCGGGGTTCTGAATGCCATACGGGCCGTCCGTCCAGCCCCCCTTGCTGTCAGCAAAGCCACCCCATAGGGAGCCCTCGATATAAGCCCTTGAACCATCCAGGAGCAACGAGGGGTCTGGATCGGATTTGGCTGGAGGCAGAGGGGGGAGGGGCAGAGGGGGGGGGTAAAGAGTGTGGGAGAAGATAATGCAAACAAGGGATGAGAAGGACGTTCCAGTCTGATATGAAGCTTCAAGCCATCCCTTGCAGAAACGAGATCTTCGGGGTTCTGAATGCATAGGGCTCATCCGTCCAGCCCCCCTTGCTGTCAGCAAAGCCGCCCCATAGGGAGCCCTCGATATAAGCCCTTGAGCCATCTAGGAGCAGCGAGGGGTCTGGATCTGACTTGGCTGGACGCAGAGGGGAGGAGGGGCAGAGGGGAGGAGGGGCAGAGGGGGGGAGTGGGGAAGTAAAGGGGTGGGGGAGAAGATGATGAGAGGAAGGCGAAAGGAAGGAGGCGAGTGTCTGGATCCAGATAGCAACATCTGATTCGGCTGCACGCCGAGGGGCAGAGGGGCAGCGGGGCAGAGGGACAGAGGGGCAGAGAGGCAGCGGGGCAGAGGGGCGGAGGGGCAGAGAGGCAGCGGGGCAGAGGGGCAGAGGGAGGGATGTGGGGAGGTGGGAAGGGGCAGATGTGCAGAGGGGTTTGGTCAAGCAGTGAGGGGGACACTATAAAGAGAAAGGAGCAAGGACTCGAGTCTTTGTGGGAGAAAGAAGGGAAGGGTATTCTTCGCTCATAGTAGGATGGGACGACCTTTGAGGTGCCAAAAAAGCCGCCAGACACCGGGGGAAGGGAAGGGTATGGTCAGCAGCGGGCGCCTCAGTGAATCGTTGATGCCAGCAGCGGGCACGGTCTCGTTGTTGCCGCCCACCCACAGTGCCAGGCTGGGATGGATGGCATTTTGACAGAGCTTGTGAAAGGAGCATGCAGAACCTTGGGTCCACGTACCATCCGAATTGCACAGCAAGCTCTTGAGCCCCTGAGACCAAGAGCCCAAGAGCCCCATCTTAAGGGCACGTACCATCCCATGGGCGCAGCAAGCCCTTCAAGGAATCATTGATGTCAGCAGCGGGCACAGTCTCGTTGCCGCCCACCCACAGCGCCAGGCTGGCGTGGTTGCGGAGCATCTTGACGCTGTCAGCAGCGCAGGCCAAGAACAGGTCGTGGTCGAGAGGCCAGTCGGGGTCAGAGGGCGGTATGCCCCTGCCGTTGCAGTCTCCTGTTATCCAGAACTCCTGCCACACCTGGTGACGAATCGAATACAGAAGAGGCGAGAGGAGAGTGAGAGCTCTTGAGGCATCTTGACGCTGTCTGTCAGTCGCACAGGCGAGAAACGGGTCGTGGTTGAGAGGCCAGCTGGGACCGGAAAAATCCCCTGCGGCTGCAATCCCCTGTGATGCAAAAATCCTGGCACAGGAGACCTAATACGTGATGAGTGGGAATGGGTGGCACTGTGTTCACGCACCTCAGAACAAACACGGTAGAAAAGTCAACGGGGAAAGGTTGTTTTCTGCGAAGTGAACGGGGTAAGGTTGGTTTCTGAGAACTCTCATGATGCCATGGAAAAGGGATGGCAGTAATGTGAGAGCTGGCTCGGAATCGATGGGGGAATCATCCAGTTTCCTGGTGAGGGGTGTGGGTTGGCACAAAACTCCCGTCTCCTGCCATGCCTGATAAGCAACGCAAACAGGTGGTGGTAGACGGCAATATAGACGCACCCTACAAACGCACCATCTTTTTTGGGCCTAGAAATCCCCTCACCGGTATTCCCAAGCCGGTCGCAGGCGTCATAAATGAGTTCTCTTAGACGCCCCACCCCACTCCAACCCACACCCCTCACCAGGATGCCAAGCTGGTCGCAGGCGTCGTAAAACTCAGGCCGCTCCATGAGTGCCCCCGCCCACACGCGAATCATGTTGATCCGGGCACACGCAAAAAGTCTCATCTCTGCCCAGTAGCGCTCTGCCGAGAGCCGGAGCAATGCGTCTGAGACGATCCAATTGGAGCCCCGCACGAACAGCGGGCAGCCGTTAACAAAAAAAACCCTGCCCGAAGAGCACAAGGATGGGGGGGATATGAGAGAATGAGGCGTAGAGAAGAGGCTGAAGGAAGATGGAAGTGAACTGAGCCCTCTTCTTCTATTTTAAGAGGAATGGGACACCTAGAGGAAACCTTAGAGTCGACTCAAAAAGCCTCCTCTACTATTTAGAGAAAGTGAGCCCAGACGTAGCTGTCGCTTTTGAGGCGACTCAAAAGAACCCAGTTCTAAGCTGAGACGTCTTAAAACCAGAGTGTTACCTGCCACCAGTCCCGGCATCAACGTAGCTGTCGATCTGCCGGAACCCAAACTTGCTGCTCCACACGTCGCTCTGCACCCACCTCCCCTCCCCTTCACGCTCCCCCCGTGTCCCCTCCCCTTCTTCCACACCCGCCTCCCTCCCAAGGCTCGCTTCCAGGTAATGCTTCCCCTTGCTAAGGCCGGAGGTCAGCTTCTGCGAGAGAAACTGGCTCCAGGACACAGGGGTCGATGTTGGTAAAGGAGAGAGGGAGGCTGCCGTGGCGGTGTGCGGTAATGGTGCGGCTGCTGCTTCCGTGCTGCGCCCATCAGTGTATTCTTGTGGAGCTGCTGATTCCGTGCTGCGTGCTGCTGCTTCCTTGCTGTGTGCTGCTGCTTCCCTGCTGTGTGCTGCTGCTTCCCTGCTGTGTGCTGCTGCATCCGTGCTGCGCCCGTCAGCACGCTCTCGTGGGGATGCCAAAGTGGGCGGGTGCAGCGCGGACGCAGTGATGGTGACGTCGTACAGGGACTGGGGACCCATGCCGTTGGGCCACCAGAGGCGAGGGCGAGAAACGAGTAGCTGAGGGGGAGGGAGGGGGAGGGAGGGGGGAGAGGTAAGGAGGGGAGAGGAGAGAAGAGGAGAAGGGCACAGGAGCAGGGATTGCTGGGCAGCAGGGACTGGGGCTTCATGCTGTTGGGCCACCAGAGGCGAGGGCGGGACACGAGTAGTTGAAAGGGAGGGAGGGGGAGGGACAGGGGGATGGAATCCGTCCATGCCATAGGGCCGGCAGAGGTGACACTTGACTCAGTCACAATGCAACAGCTTGTGCTCTTTGAGCCATGCTGCTTGGATTGGAATGTGCGTGCGTGGCATACCGGCTGGAATGTGTGAGTCACGGTGCTGTTTGCAGGCACCTCCACCTCCTCCTCCCTCACCCCTTCCACCATCACAAATCCCTCCCCATCCTCCTCCTCCTCCCATTCCCCACCCCCACGAGTCCTCCCACCTCCCTCCATCCCCCATCCCCTCTCCACTCCCCTACATGTCCCTGGTGTGAATGAGAGCTCGAGGGAGAGGCGGGTGCGGAGGGGCAGAGGGAGAGAGTTGGTGAGAGCGAGGGAGCAGTGGAGGGAGGCGGAGGAGGGGGAGAAGGGAGGGGCGGGAGGAGCAGCAGCAGGGGGAGCAGGAGCAGGAGCAGAGGAGGAGGAAGGAGAAGGTGAGAATTTCCATGCCCTGCTGGCGACAGGCGAAGGGTTGCTTGATCCTCTGCCGAGGCCTGCCTCCTGCTGCTGCCCTTCCTCCCGTTCCTCCCGTTCCTCCCGTCCTCTCCCACCCACCACCCCCTCGGGCCTATCATCGCTGAATCCAAACACAGCCACCAGATGGGGGTCTCCCAGGGTCACGGGCTGCCAAATAGGCAAGCAGGGATGCATGCACGGGGATGCAAGTAAAATGGAGATGCATGTAAAACAGGGATGCATGCAACATGGGGATGCATGCAACATGGGGATGCACACAGACAGGGATGCAAGGGAGAAAAACGAATGCGACATTCAATCTCGTGCATCTGCAAACGTTGAGCAACCGTTTGCTTCACTCTCACCTTCTTTCCCACTGCATCCCCCCACCCTACCCTACCCGCTCTGCATCCCCCCACCCTACCCTACCCGCTCTGCATCCCCCCACCCTACCCTACCCGCTCTGCCTCCCACCACCCTACCCTACCCTCTCTGCACCCCTCCACCCTACCCTATCCTCTATGCACCCCTCCAGCCCCCCTCCTCTCTCCCTTTCCCAGTCTTTCTCTCTCACACAGCCAACCCACTCCCACATCTTCCCACCCTCGCTCCCTCCTCACCCCAGTGACAGCCACGTGCACGTCGTCCCATATTTACCCATCCTCAACTCAGCCTCAAACCCCCCCCCCCCTGCTCCCCTCTTTCCCCCCTCTCTCCTCACCCCAGAGACAGCCACGTGCACTCTGTCCCACATGTACCTACCCTCACCCCAGCCTCACCCTCTCCACCCCCCCCTCCCCACTTTCCCCCCTCCCTCCTCACCCCAGTGACAGCCACGTGCACCCTGTCCCATATGCCTGTGTTGCGGTCCCTGCCAGCCCAAAGAGAGAGGGAGGGAAGCAGGACGGGCAATGGAAAGAAGCATGCAGTGGCAGCGCAAATCGTGCCAAAACTATCAGACGGGAAACTGGCTGCCCAGGGGAGAGTGGGCCGTAGCACGAACAAATGAGCATTCCCGGATCAATTAATTAGAACACCACGATAGCAGGCGTCAGATGATGCCTGGTCAAGCAGCAGCTGGGCAGAGTGGTTGCACATGGGGCAGAGGGGACCATACCGGATGGGAATGATCCAATCCCAGCCCTCCACGTATTGTGCTGTGACATCCTTAGCCACCTGCGTGCATAGGTCATGGCAGCAGGGGAAGATAGTGGCATGGGTTATGAGGAAGCTTGGGGCATGCGGGCGGGTGTGAAATCAAGGGTCGAAGGGCACATGCAGAATGCCTTCTTACTCCGTTTAACAAGCTGCCAACACATAGCATCTCACAGATGGCAAGTAAAACATGGCACATCGTAAATGCCATCTCACAGATGGCATGTCACACATGGCATGCCGAAAATGCCATCTCACAGATGGCATGTCACACATGGCATGCCGTAAATGGCATGTCACACATGGCATGCCGCAAATGGCATGTCACACATGGCATGCCGCAAATGGCATGTCACACATGGCATGTCGTAAATGGCATGTCACACATGGCATGCCACGCCACATCAATCCATGCGCGCCATCATACCTGGTGGTCTCCTCCCTGCCCTCCCCCATCCACGCATGTAGCAGTGAGTAACACATAACATGCCATAGTACACAGCATGTCAAATGGCATACCACACACATCAGGCCATGCAAGCCACCGTACCTGGTGGTCCCCGCCCTGCCCTCCCCCATCCACGTTCCCCGGGTGATCCACCGGATTCACCAACACCGCCACGTGGTTCCTGCTGCAGCTGCTACAGTTGCTGCTGCTACAGGCGCTGCTGCCACAGCCGCTGTTGCTACAGCCGTTGCTGGTAGATCCGTTGCTAATGCAACCGAACTTGTTGCTGTCCCCCCTCCTCGCCAAGTCAGTTATGTCTAGCTGGCGCCGCAAGAACATGCCAGCTGGCCGGTCGATGCTGAGCTGGCGGCCGTTGAGGAAGACTGAGAGAGAATAGTTGACGCCACGGAAGCACAGCCACACACGCTCCCACTCGCAGCACTCCCACCCACGCTCGCTATTGCCACCCCTGCTACAGCACCCCTTGTCCGCACCAGCAGCAGCAGCAAGAGCGGCTGTCTGATTGTCACGCAGCTGAGACGGAGAGCACATTAACGCAGGAATCTTCCGGGCAGGCAGGTGGAAGCAGCGGCGGAAGACGAAGGTGTAGAAGTCCCTGCCCGCGTGAAATATGTCCGGGACGAGGTCCCGTGTGTTGGTGCCATAGAGAGGGTCCGGGAACATGCCATTGGCAACCAGGCTGGTGAGCACGCTGGGGGACGGGGGGGGGAGGAGAGAGTAAAGAATGGAAGAGAGAGGCAAGGCGGGAAGAGTGAGAAAGGAAGACAAGAGAGGTGGAAGCAGCAGCGGAAGAGGAAGATGTAGAAGTCCATTCCTGCGTAGAATATGTCCGGAATGCTGTTCCCTGTGTTGGTGCCGTGGAGGGGGTCCGGAAACACCCCGTTGGCCACGGGGATGGTGAGCACGCTGAGGGACGGGGGGGGAGAGGAGAAGAGTGAAAGCAAGTTATTGAGTTAAATCAAGGTGCCGTGGAGAGCGTTGAAGAACAGGCCGTTGGCCACGAGGCTGTCGGAGCACGCTGAGGGACGGGGGGGGAGGAGAAGAGAAGAGTGAAAGCAAGTAATTGAGCTGAATCAAGGTGCCAGAAATCAGATCGTGGAGAGGGCCGGGGAGGCACAAGGGAGGGACCGAGGAAGGATGTTAGGGTGAACATGGCTTCTGAGCACTCTGAGAGGGCGGACGAACAGAGAGGCACGGGAAAAAGGTCGAGATCAGGAACAAGCAAGGAAAAGCAAGAACCAAGAGATTCAAGAAGGAAGAAGATTGAGAACAACGAGTGTGGAGAGTAAAGTGGATCATGTTACACACGGAGGGTCGTTCCAAAGACATGACATCACATGGCAAGACGCGTGGTGGGAATGGCTTGACATCATGACATGACATGGCAAAACATGACATGGCAAAACATGACATGGCAAAACATGGCATGGCAAAACATGACATCACATTGCAAGACATGTGGTGGGAATCAGTGCTACAAGGACATGACACGGCCGGTTCGGGTGGCGGGTTTCCCGTCACGGTCCCTGCAAGCATGGGGCCAACACCACCGGCAATCCCAAGAACGTACGTTCCAGGAACGATGGCCGGCATCCAGCCATCCTCGTTACAGTTCCACTCGCTGCTATCCCGAATACTATTCGAAATCCGCGAATCTATGCCGTCGGCGCCGTCACTCTGTCCTTCCGTCGAATATTCTTCGTTAAACTGGAACGAATATCGGGAGGTTCTGGAGTTGCCTGTTTCTGGTAACTGGGTAAGCTGCTCGCCACTGACGCCAACTTCCGACGCTCTTTTCATCCGCCAATCAGAGTGAAGCAGCTGGCACCATGGAAACGTGATGGAATCGCCCTGTGTGGGAGCCATGGCTTTTAGCTTGGCAGGAGGTCCTATTCTGTACTCGGCAGAGAGGCAGTTCCAGTCACATGGTGCTAAGAATTCTTGGTTGCTGGGAGAAATTCAAGGTGGTTGCAAAATTTCAACGACACATTCTGCGAGGTGGTGATTGTCGTGGTACTCGATTTTGAACGCATCGATTCTGGAAACAAAATCCTACACCCGTATTCTTATGCAGAAAGACAGCAACAATCTGAGATGCTGGTGCCCTCCCGCGACTTCTCACACTTCGCTCACGACGGTTCGCGAACGTCGCATAGACCATGCTCCAGCCAACGAACCCCCTTGCCCCCATCGCACCCTAATTTCTCGGAGCTGCATCCCTCCCGCCAGATCGCACCCCGGGAACCTCGCTAATGTGAGCTCGCAAATAAGAAGCATTTGCTCTCACCACATCTCGCTAGTTTCCCAGCTTAGCGAGGTATTTTCTGGTGTTCCATTACCACTGGTCACATCTTATTCGCGAGCCTGTGCATTAGCCTCTTTCGGGAATTCGAACCGACTCGATGGAAGAGGTTCAGGTTCGGGAGTTTGTGGAAGTGCCGGCTGCTGACGCGGACGAAGCCGCGGAGCCCGTGATTAGCGGCGTGAACATCGGCGCCATCGGCGCCGCGATAACCGGCGCGGCGAAGAAGGACGAGGCGAAGAGGTCCCCGCTCGCGCTGCTGATTCCGATCGCCGTCGTAGCCGCGGGAGCGTTCGCCATCGTCAGCATTTTCAGAGGCGGCAAGAAAAAGGCGAAGGCAGCACTGATGCCACGTACAAAGCCTCGCCGCTTGTTCCGGCGACGAATGAAACTCCTACCTTTAGTGGTGCTGACGCGAGTAATAACTCAGCCGTTACTGCTGCTGGTGATCGTTACGTTCCCCCGTCGCCGCAGTCGGACGCGTTCCACGACGCCACGTGGGAGCTGACGGCGGACGACGACGACGCGGCGAACGGGAATCTCCGGCGCGAAACCCGGCGAGGGCGCCACGGTGGCGCGCATCCTCGGGAATGCTGCGGCGAGCGCGGAAGCGGAAGCGGTGGGAGATGGTGAAGAGGGGAAGGCTGAAGAGGCGAGAAAGGGTAACGGAGAGGAGGCGGAGGAGGAGGAGGAAGAGGAAGAGAGGGAAGAGGAGGAGGAGGACGACGAAGAGGAGGAAGAGGAGGGAGATGCGATGGTGTCGTCGCTGCTGCAGAAGGCGCGAGCAGCGAGCTCCAATGTGAACGACATGGCGGCCCAGAGCCTGGCCTGAGCTGAGCTGAGGACCAAGACTTTTGACGCGCTTGAGGCGCTTGAGGCGCTTGAGGCGCTTGAGGCGCTTGAGGAGCTTAAGGCTCCTCACAATGCGGGTGGCGCACGACATGGTGGCCAAGCGCCTGAGTTGAGGGGGCAAGGCTTTTGAGTTTTGGAGGGAGGAGTTATGCAACGCACGGCAGGGAAAGTCAGAGTACGGTAGCTTGTGAGGAAATCTCTCCTCTCCCTTTTCTAGTACCGTATTTCCAGCATCTCTTTTGACCTCTTCACTCTCCTCTTCATAAGTCCCCTTCCATCACTCTCACTCTCACGTTTTGTAGAGCCCTGCCCCCCTAGTGCCCCCCTAGTGCCACCCTTGTGCTCCCCTTGTCCACTCATCCACTCCCTTTCCACCTGTAGTGTCAGTCTCAAAGTGCGTTGTGTAACACATTTAAATATTAGGCTAGTAATGTATAGCCCATGCAGTTTGTCGATTGATGTACAGTGTAGCTATCTTATGAGCTGCGAGCTTCCAGTCATGGACGAGCTTCCTGTCTCACTAAGAGGATGAGGGTTCAGCTACAGCATAGAGAATGCCTGCACAGAGAGTGCCTGTACAAAGAGTGCTTGTGCAGAGAGTGCCTGTACAGAGAGTGCCTGCACAAAGAGTGCTGTACAGAGTGCCAGAAACCACCACCTCACCTCACTGGATTGCTTGCAGGAGTACCTGAGTGAACTGAACTGAATGTGGTCAGGTCATCATCAGACTCGCGCTTACAACCACAAGAGTCACACTTATCAGAATTGAATAATGAATAGAAGACATGAGTACAAGGCTATACGAACTAAGGGTTGTACCCTCTAAGACACAAACCTATACAGTCTATACAAACATAACAATATATGTTTGACACACCCCTCGACTGCATAGGAGCAGTTCCTGACGAGAGAATAGGCAACTAAGGGTGGCACTACTAGTCCAACCTCTGAGGCAAGGGTCTAAAGACCAATCAAACAGGTACAGACCAATGCAAGAGCAAGGCCAGGGCGGCACTACTAGTCCAGCAACTGAGAGAGGCCACAAGGCGAGTCAAGGGTAAAATATATATAAAGGTCTTTACATAGTCAAGGCCCTAGCAGGTGAGAGGCTACAGGAATGAGACCTAGCTGTACACAGTGCCGCTGATGATCTTTAGGCGAAAGCGCATTCGTAAAGATATCAGCCATGTTGGCACCGGAGGCCAAGTGTACTACGCGGGCCTGGCGACGCTGCTGTAGCTCACGCAGGAGGAAGTACCGCAGCTGGATGTGCTTCTCTCTGCCCTGAAATCGAGGCTCCTGACACAGGAGGATCATGGCCCTGTTGTCAGCGTACAGGACCGGGGCAGAGCTAGGCCGCTCACCTAAGTCAGTGAGCAACAAGGTCAGCCAGCGGAGCTCCTGTGCCGCCATGGCACTGCGTAGATCTCGGCCTCATTGCTGGACTGGGCAACAGACGAGGAGCGAGTAGCTCTCCACGAGACAGCACCTGAACCAAGACTAAAGCAATAGCCCTGCAAGGACCTGAGGGTCTCGGCGCCGTCTGCCCACGAAACGTCTGTGTGCCCAGTAAGGACCACAAGCCTGCGTCCTCCCAGCACTAACCCCATGCCTGATGTACTCGCAAGATAACCAAAACCCTCTTAGCGGCCGACCAGTGCTGAGGTCGGTGTCTGCCTGTGGCCACAAAGCGAGCCAGGATGCTGAGAGGGTATGCGAGATCTGGACGAGTGCAAGTCATCAAGTACATGAGGCAACCCACCAGCTCTGCGTAAGGACCACTGGGCTCTGCCGACTCCTCAGGAACTGGAGCTGAGAGCCTGTGATCTACTGGAAGAGGAGTGGGCTGTGCGGAGGAGAACTGAAGACCGAACCTCTAAAGGATCTGGCGCACCAATTGTGACGAGTGAGGGTGATGGTGCGCGCTGCTCTGTCCCTAGAGATCTGCAGGCCCAGGTAGTGGCACAGCTCTCCTAGGTCAGTGCAGGTGTGTCTCCTCAGCAGCTCAGCCTTCACGAAGGCCAGCGCGGTGGTGTCTGCAGTGGCAAAGACCAGGACGTCTACGTAAACAATGATGTAGAACGGAGTCTGGCCAGAACGAACGAAGAGCAAGGGGTCTGCAGAGGACAGAAAGAACTGCAGGTCAGCAAGGGTAGCACGTAGCATGTCGTGCCACTCGCGGGGCGCCTGGCGCAAGCCGTAGACTGGGCGCCGTAGGAGCCACTGGGTCCCAAGAGAAAGGTACTAGTGAAAACCTGAGGGCGTCGCAGGTAGACCTGCTCGTGCAGACTAGCCTGAAGAAAAGCAGTGGAGAAGTCTAGGGAGTGTAACTCGCAGTCACGCTGAACTGCTACGTGTAGCACTGCCCGAAGAGTAGTCATCTTCGGGGTCGGAGCGAAAGTCTGAAAGAAATCAACCCCCTCACGCTGCTTAAAGCCTCTAGCCACGTAGCACGCCTTGAACACGGGCGGCTCTCCAGGAGGGCCCTTCACATTGAAGAGCCAGCGACCATCGACTACGTTCACCCATCCAAGGATACTGCGTCGACGTATGTGCCGGTGGATCTCCAAGATGCCATCTCCTGCTCTATGGCAGCTATCCACTGAGAGGCCCAAGGTCCCGAGGTCACCTCAGCGTAAGTGCGAGGGGTCGGGATATCGAAAGCGTCTGGGTCACCCTCAGGTACTAGCAGCATGGAACAGAGATGAGGAGCAGCCTCGAACAGGAAAGCAAGCTCGTACTGGCGATCCTCCAGGGCGTCACTGCCAAGGGCAGAAGCACTCCCGACAGACAGAGGACAGGCAGGGTCAGAGACCAGAGTGGTGGCGGGTAGAGGCGAAGTCAGCGATAACAGCGACAAGAGCGTCAAGACACGAGACCGGAACAGCCGGGTCGGGAAGGAGAGAGGCAAGGACCCGATGAACAAGAGGACGAGCGGCACGAAGGTAGTTAGACAGAGGGGGAGGCGCAACAACAAAGGAGGACGGAGGAGGCGACGGTAGGAGGGGAGGATGAGACGCGTGGGAACGAAGCAACATAGGGTGAGAGCACGGGACAGGGGAGACGGGGCGAGCACGGGAGCGACGACGAGACCAGACGTGAGACTAGGGAGTCGGGTCAGGAGACAGAGGAGGGGACACAAGAGGGGAACAAGGGGAAGACGAGCCGGAGTCGAGTCCGGGGGAGGGAATACAGGGCCGTAGACAGGAAGAGGAGGAGACGGCAGGAGAGGCACAGACGCGTGGTCAGGGGACGG